TTAGTTTGTTTTTCTTGAATTTCTCGATCGATATCCTTAAAATGAAAATAATATTTAAATAAAGAGAATAAAATTAAATAATACATCTAATTGTCGAATGTTTTTCATTTGATGGTGCTTATGATAAATGTTCAAGATTAGTTAAAAGTACATCGAAATCAGTTAACCAAAGTACTAATCAATCTTGTCTTAATTGAAAATCACCATGTACACTTAACATATATATTTAAGCTAAAATAATAATAAAAATAAAAAAAACATGAAATTGAATTATCTTTTCTTTTTTTTTGTTAAATACATTTTTCATTGTTTGATGTACTGTTCCAATTAATATTTCCCAACGAGTATTAATTTCTTTAATTTTTGAACGAATTTCTCCTGTAGAATCTGCTCTTGGATGATTTCGAATAATTTCTGAATAATTATCTCTAATTTTTTGAATATCTTTTTCATCATTATCTAATGTTCGTTTAAAATTCTTTAAAATTTAAATAAATAAGAAAATGTTAGAAAAAAACAAAAAAGAAATTTTTGAAATCTCAAACCTCAAGAGTTTTGTATTCATTTTAAACACTTTGTAAACCTTGTCGACATGTTCTTTTAACTTGATTAAGAAATGGTTGATGATCAGTAATCATTTGTTGATGCACGTTTTATTGCATCGTTCAACATTTGTTCCATGATAGACGTTGTGTATCCAATCTATCATTTATGAAATATTTTATTTTATTAAAATGAATAAATTCTTTACTCAAGTTTTCTTTTTCGTATTAAATCTTTCAATGATGTCCAACGTTGTTCAATTGATTGAATTGTTCGTCGTATTGAATTAATATTTCGTGAACGAATATCAATTTCATTTAATAAATAATGACCAAGTGATAGAACACTACTAACAATAGTACGATGTTTTTCAATATCTCCTTCGATTGCCTAAAAATTTCAAAAATATTTTTCTTTAGTTTGTTTGACGCTAACGGATTTTCTATCTTTATCATTGTGTAGAGCAATTGACGATATGTACAGTAGTCTATAGAAAATAACATATTCACCAAGAGTTCGTATACTAGTTGGTGGATTCTATAGAAAATTGTTTAGTGAATATGTGATATTCTATATACGATTGAATGCATTGTGAACTGCTCTACAAAATGATATAGGTCACTTTTCAATTCAAATGTGATCATCACACCCGGTAGAGTCTTTTTTGTTCCATAGAATAATAGATTGTTGATGAGGACGTAATTGATTTGAATTTAATGTATTTATTGATAATGATTTTTGTAAATTTGTTTCAATAGTATCCATCATCCATGAACGAACATTTTCTAAACCTTGTTCAAAATCATGAAACATTTTAAGAACTATTTCACTCTTTTTAATTCTAAAAATAACAATAACAAAATGAAAACATTAATATTTGTTTTTTAAACGAGAATAAAACAAACCGTTTTTCAACATGTTCTTCTCTTGTTCTAATCGATCAATTTGTTGTTTTAATGTTTGTAATTCTAATTGATCAGTTATATCTGTTTGTAAAAGACGTGCTGCTATAATTAAATCATAAAGAGATCGTCGTTTATCACAAATTAAATATCGTATTTCAGTTTTAAATATATCAAGAGTTGCTTGAAGTGTTAAACCATCAATACGATGATTGATTTCAGTATTAAGAAAATGTTCAAACGATTGAATAAGACGTTTACATTTATTTTCAAGATGATGATATTCTGAACGTTTTTTTGTTAAATTATCAATTAATCTTCTTATAATACGTTCAGCATCAGTCCATTGAATTTCAAGTACACTAGAACAAAAAAAAGAAAGAATTGATGAATAATAAAAATATTAATTTTTTGGTTTTATTACTTCAATTTTTGCATTAATTGATTTATATCATCAGGATGTAATTCAGGTGATATCTAATATTTTTTTGTTTTTAAATAATATATATTTGAATAATATAAATAGAATTACTTCTCTTATTGTTTGTCGTAAACGTTCTAATTCATGTCGATCTTGTGTAAGTTCACGATCTTTACTCGAAATAAATTTATTTATTATTTTTAACTTTTATTATTTATGAAATTTTATTTACTTGACATTGTAAAATAAATTGATTAAATTCATCTGTTGGTTGTTATTCAAGTGTACGAATTGATTTTATTGAAATACTTACATCATCCAATGCATGATCAAGTTCATTATAACGAACCAATAACTATCAAAAATTTAAAAATAAAAATATGATTTTATTACAAATATAAGAAAAAAACAAAAAAGGGAATTTTCAAATTTGTTCTTTTTTTTTTCCTTCTTTAACTGGAAAAGTTTCTATCTAAAAAAAACAACCTATGGTAAGCAGATGAGCAGGAATAAAAGATTGACCAGAATCTATGTTAAAGTTAAGAAGTATGATGCATCGTTTCGAAGAATAAGAGCAAATCAATAAACATGCACAAACGTTGATATTATCTATCAAGAAATATTCTATATATATGAACTGAAAATAAATGAGGAAAATAATTGATAATGATGTTTTCTTTTTTTTTTTTTGTTTTGTTGTATTTTCTAATCTCGAATATTGATGCGATCATTAATCTATACTGATTACCTTCTCCTTTCGAAGATTTTTTCGATACTAGAATAGAACAATATTTAGGTAACAAAAATGATATATGAATATAATGAATTAATTAAAATCAATAAAAATTCAATTGAATTAAATAACAAATGACTACCGTAATAAGTGTTGTTTAAGATCTTTGTTTAATATAAATATTAATTTAATTAGCTGATCTTTGTAAATCATTCGATTCTTTTTCTAATATTATTTTTGTTTTAATATGAGAATATGTTATAAGTCGTCGATTTATTTCATAACATTTATTCTAATAAATTTTGTTAATTCTTCATTTTGTAATGAATGTTAAATAAATTCCGTTGTTTAATTTGATTAATTAAATAAATTGTTGGTGATCGTAATTGTTCTTGTTGAAATGTCATATTTATTTAAAAGTAAACGATAATAATACTTTCTAAATAATTTTGATATGATAACCATTATTTAATAATATATTTTATTTCTTGTTGTTTATTTAAAATTGTTTTTATAATTAATTGGCAACGTTGTTCAAGTGTTAGTAAATGTATGTTGATTTTAATAATTAAATTTTGTTCAATTAACTGTTTACCTTGATTAATTAATTGTATTAATTCTTGTTGTCGTTGATTAAAATGATTAATTATATTTGTTAAATTAATATCAATTTCTAATAAACGTTGATAATTTCTATGTAAATTTAATTATATAATTGCTAAATTTTGTTTTGAGATCTTGTATATAATCATTCGATTGTTTGAGAACGTTTATCAAAATTAAATTAATTATATTGATTTATTTCAAGTTGTTTTATACGATTTTAAATTAATTCAATTGTATGTCTATATTCAATAATAATTTCATCTAAATGTTTAGCTCGTTTAAAATATAAAATAAATTCATTTGAATTAAAATGTTCAATCAAAAATCATGTTTTTATAAAATTAATCTATGAAATTGATGAAGTTGTTTTTAATTATTTATTTCATTTTCATCAGTTAATTGTTGAGATTTATAATCAATTTGAATTTGATTAATTATTTCTATTAATTCATTTAAATAATCTAAATAGATTTTTTCACGTTGTTTTAATTCATTAGAATCACTTTGAAGTTTATCATGAAATGTGTACATAATTCTAAATATTGATTTTTAATAACAGAATATTGTGTATTAATTTTTTTAGGAACTATAGGAGGTAAATGATTGCCTAATTTTTGAGCTCGTTCATATAATCTTGTTATTTCATTATCAAGTTGTTGAAGACGTTGTTGAAAATCCTAAAGAATTAAATAGAACACCAGTCAAAAAAGTAGAAAACAATTCAAGCTACTTAGGTTATATAGAAGAATTTTTAACAAAAAAAAATCTATATTTATATGACAAATATTTTTTGTTTGACTTCGAAAAACTGTTCTTAAGAGACTCTTATTATATTAACAATAATCAGGCTTTTTAGTAGTTACGATTGTGTTGAGATATATCTGGAAGAATATCTTATATACTTACATTTGTTTTGTCAAAAAGTGATTCAATATCTGATGTAAATATTTCTCTTTGAATTCTATACCATCGACCTTCAAGTTCATCAAGTCGTCGATCAAGTAAATGAACATATGAACTATTAAATTGTCTCCCTCCAATAATCAACTATTTCTCTTGATGGTCGTATAATTTCTTGTAAACGTTGTTCAACATTTGTCCATTGTTGTTGAATACGATGTCTTATTTCATTAATTTTTAATGAAGTTTCTCCATCACATTGACTGGATAATTGACGACGACCTTGAGAAAGAATTTGATCGAGATCATGTCGATGTAATTCGATGATTTGTAAATGCTCCTAAAATATATTCAATATAGGTTAAATCAAAGATACTTTTCATAAAGACAAAAAAAAAAAAAAGAAATGTTATTATCTGTTATAGTTGTTCTGATAACATAGAGTACTCCTCGATACTTATTGTCATAGCTATATCTAGATAGATATTCTACTTGTATTCTAGTATTGATGAGTTATTCTTAAAAAAAAAAAACCATGTCGTCGAGACGATCATATGTGGTCTAGATTCATCTATTGAATAGAAATCATTACAGATGACCATCCATTTTGGTATCGAATGTTTCTGCGTTTATCAGTTGGAAAAATCAATGTTAACATCAGCATTATAAAAATTCAAGTCAGTGATTTCCTTCAGAGCTTTTTACCGCTTGTAAACGATTTACTAATTTATTTGAGTATGTAAAATAAGAGACTCGTAGATAGTTTTGTTTTAGATTCTGTAGAAAGAGATTCAGTGTTTAACCCGGCTTACAACGTAGAAGAGATGCCAGATGACATTTACAGATTTTTCCCAAGATAAACATTGGACATTTTGTTTCATTTTAAGATCTTTTTCCTATTTGTTAAAATATAGTAAACATGTGTTTTCAAATCAACTAAATCTGAATTATTATTAACAGCAAAATACAAGACAAGTTGATGTTTTTTTGAATAACTTTCGATAGAAACATCCTAGAGACCTGTGCTTTTCACCATTCAAAAGAGAAAACTCGAGGGTATCGAAGCATATCGAAATTTGATTGGTCAGTAATTGGTCAATAAAATGAGTTCTTGTTCGAGATTTTTGAAAACGATATCCTGAAGTAATCGCACTTATGATATAATCAATTGATAGAAAAAATTCTTCTCTTTTGATCTATGCAAGGTCGACATTCGTAGTGTGTTTCGTTCGACTGTAATAAGGCTTTTTCTGAGATCTGTGATCATCTGAATAAGTCGCTAGACAGGGATCATTCACCGTGCTGAGTCGAATAGTGATATTTTCTTTTAGGTTCAAATTGATCGGACACTGTATTTCAATGTTTCTGAAATTTGACAATCATCCATCATATGTCACAAAGAAGTCGACAATTCCGAAATATAATAGTGTCCAATCAATTCGAACCTAAAACCAGATATCACCATTCGACTCAGCACTGTGAATTATTCCTGTCTAGTGGCTTTTCCAGGTGATCACAGACCTCAGAAAAAGCCTTATAACTCTCGAACAAAACATCCTAGGAATGTCAGCCTTGTGTGAATCAAAAGCGAAGAATTTTTCCTGTCAATTGATTATATCATAAGTGTGATAACTTCTGAATATCGTTTTCAAAAATCTCCACTGTAAACTAACCTGATTGATCAATTGCTAACTAATGGAATTTCGACATACTTCTATGGCCCCGAGTCTTCTCTCTTGAATGGTAAAAAAACCACAGATCTCTATGATATTCCTATCGAAAGTTATTCAAAAAACAATGACCTACCTTATATATTGATATTAAGAATAGTATAAAATAGGCTTTTTTTATAGAAATTTATCAATGATCTTCTATTTATCATTAGTTTTGATAATGATACAAAAAAAATCCATCGACCATATTATTATTAGCTGAATTTTTCTTGTACTCATTTGATAAGTTTCAAGATTGATTGCACTTGTTTGAACACGATCAATAACAGCGTTCAGCTTCACGTATAATTTTTTCTATTTGAAGTAAAACACGATTATATTCTTGCCAATCAGATAAAATTGATATTGATTTTAATTTTAATTGTTCAATTGATGGTGATAAATTATCAAGCATATGACGTAAATTTTGTATCGTACCATCGTTGATCAGATATATGAAATGTTGTTGATATTGATGATATTCGATTCCTATATGATTTTAATAATGTTAGAATTTGTTGTTTAGTTGTTAATTGATATTCAATTTCCTATTAAAATGAAAAGTAAAAACAAAAAAAATTATTTAAACAATTCAAATACGACAAAAAAAAACAAGAAAATAATTTACATCGCATTTTCGTAAATTATCTTTAACACCAGCTTCCATATTTCTTGAACGCATAAATTCAAGATCAGATGTTTGTTCTTTAACCCAATCAGATAATGTACGAACTGTTTGATCAAATTCATTAAATTGATCATTTTATTCTTCTAAACTCTATTAATAAAGAAGAATTAAAATATAATTCTTCTTTATTTTTTTATTCTTACATCAATACGTCCTGATATTAATGATTTTATTCTTATCCAATCAATATTAATTTGTTTG